TACGTTTGAAATAAAAATACTTTACGAGAATTACAATGAATATTCTCTTTATTGTTATTAGTAATTTCTTATCATTTTGAACGTGAGAAATGTTGGTAATTATTTAAAATAATGATTATCTTATTGATTTTGACGACCTCGATTTTGAAGTATATTATCATTCTGAGAGACAAAAATGTTAGAATGTTAAGGGAATCAGAACTTCATTTTCTTATTTTAATTTTAATTTCATTTTTTATATGTTTTCCTAAATTTTCTAAATAAGAAAACTTTCTTTATTTTATAATTTAATAAAATATTTATTTTTTCACATTTCATATCAGAAATTGAAACTATATGTTCTAATATCAATTTCACAGATTTTGCTGAATAATAAAAAGAAAAATGTATGTATATATTTTCATCCTATGCTAATTTATAAAAAAAAAATAAATAAAGAAATGAAAAAGAAAAATATTTTCCTTATTCAAAATTTAATAAAATATTCATTTTCATTATTTCACATTTCATACCAGAAAATAAAATTATACAAATTTTAATATATAGGTTAATTATAAATATTTCTTCTTCTTTTTTATAAATTTTTTTCATTATTAACAATTTCATCATTTGTGTCGTGGTAAATCTAAACTAAGATCGGCAAGAACGTATGACACTGCAGCAAAAAAGGCTGTTCCTTTGTCAAGAGCTTCTGGATCCTCGACCAACATATTATCAGCGTTCGAGTGATGATAATAAAAGTACTTATCGTTTTGAGTCCAGATAGAACCTCCTGGTACGCCTTCGTTTACCCAAGTAGAAATATCGGGTCCTTGGTTGGGACTACGAACTGTCATATTTTCCACAGGAGAGAAGAGACTAAAGAAAGTGAAGCAAATTGAAAAAAATGGAACATTTGCTTGTTACAATATTTTTAATGAATTTTACTTAATTTAATTTTATAAACTAACGTCATAATCCTTTGTAAGATGCATCCAACTACATCTGTACCGGTATATTCAATGCCTAAAGGCGCGAACGTGCCTGCATCCGATTCCATTACAAATTGTAAATTATTTTGTTCAGATTTATGAATCTTGATGAAATCCAAAGCTCCTATGTATCCCATTTCTTCTGCTGTCCACATGATCAATCTATCAATAAAATTAATTTTTAAATAATTTAATTAAATATCTTAAATTTTAGTATTTTTCGCTTTAAACAATTATAAATGAATATAATTATATATTATAATGTATAATAAAGAATTATTAGAAATACTTTTAATTAAAAACGACGAATCAATATGATTAAAAAATTGTAAGAACCGACGTGAGTGGAAATGACATGATTGGACTTTTTCATTTAATTCATGAAATCAATATTATACAACTGTATATTTTTTTATGTTAATTAATATATCGACAACTTATCACGATATTGTTTTTTCTTGATCTTGATTCATTTAAAAAAAAAATATTCGCAATATTATTTTCGACGAATATAATAATAAAATTCGTTTATAAAATTTACATATTATCATATATGAATACAAAATATAAATTGATTCAAAAAAGATTAACGATTAAGATTTAGAAGTACAAATATTATTCCTAAATAAGATATAATTTATTATATTCGATTTTAATCCATTCTAGTTTATTAAAATAATTTCTATATATTATTTCTATATATTTCTATATCGATTGAATAACGTAATTCTTTTTTTAATTAGTATTACAAATATTTTTAATATAAAATAACTTGAGTATTATTAGTTTAAAATTAATATCATTCAATTTGAATCAATTTTACCTTATTGTTCGTCGTGGTCTGTAATTAAGATGTTTCAATAGTTTCACAGCTTGCCACGAAACGAATGCACCACCACCATCGTCCATTGCTCCTTGGCCAACATCCCAACTATCGATATGGCCAGAAACAACGACAATCTTTTCAGGATTTGCAGAACCTTGCAAATCGGCAATTACATTTCGCGATACTGTGGATGGCAGATTTTTCGCTTCCATTTTCAGATTGATTTCGAGCACTTCACCTGAAATAAATGAATATGAAAAAAAATTTTTTTAAATTTTTTGAAAAAGTAAAAATTTCTATACTTCCAAAATGATATATATATTTCTAAAATTTCTAAAGATGATTAGGATTTTAAAAAATTTTTAATTGTCGAATCAGAGTCTAATTTATAGAAGTAATTCAAAATATTCTAAATCTAATTATCCAATTAAATTTAATTAAAATGATAAGATATTTTGGAATGATATTGATTGTAAAACGCAAGATATCATTTTTCATGACTAATAATGTTGAAATCTAGATGATGACTATGTTAGAAAACTTATAGAAATTTAGAATTTATTAATAATTTAAAATTTTTAAATGACACTTACTTATGTTTTTTCATTCAAATCACATTATTAATTAAAATGTTAAAACATCATAAAAATTGGATAATTAAATTCAACATTATATAGATAATATCAAGCAAAATCTAGTTATAATAAAATATCTAATTATATTAAAGATTTGCAAATATTTATAATCATTGATATCTATTATTTTAAAATAACTATTGTTGCATATTTAAAAATGGTAAACGATTATTTACCTCTGTTCGCCATTCTTCTCAACAAAGTAGCATCTTCGACAGTGATGGAGGCCACTGGAATCTTAGTCACATTCTCACCGTACTCTTGATAACCCGTATGGGGAGTGTACAACGAATATGGCGTAACTGATCTAACTAAAGCAGCGACAGCCCCATATTTCGAGGCTTGCGTCGCTCCATTCCTTCGATACTTCACAGTTTCACCGTATGAAACAAATTTCTGGTTATAAACGACGATCTTTCCAGGTACCTAAAAAAAAAAAATAGAATTACGTTCGAAAGAAATGAAATAATAATAATAATATAATAATAATAATAATAGTTCTCATATTTCTGGAAATGCGTTTACTTCATGTTTTCTGCTGTCCAATTCCTCGAAACTGTCCACAACGATGGCCTCCGCGGTTATTCCTTCGGGTGGGGTGCCGACGCTGGTGCCTAATCCCAGAATAGCAATATTCTTTTGCCTCGGTTTCAAAAGGGTTGCAGATTCTCTTCCTCTGAAAAGAAAAATGATCGTTTAATTTTTTCAGTTCTCGTTGAAGATACATTTTTTTTTTCAGACAGAATTTTTAGACTCTCTCTATTAAGAATATTATATGATCAGTGGGAATGAAACGATTTCAATGGTGGAATAACATTACCTGACCCAATGTGGCACGGTAACAGGTTCACCGTGGACGTTCTCTAATCCATACTCGATGGATTTATTCAGCACGTAGTCGATGGAACGTTCCAACTCCTCAGATCCGGTTGGTCTAGGACCAAACTTGTCAGTAAAATAAGCTAATTCGTTCCACGTGGTTCCTTTGAACGATCCATTCAAGGCTTCGTTCATTATGGCACGAACTACTGGCTCGTAGGAATCTATTTCGTGTAACAAGCTTTGCGGTAGTTGACATGAAATAACACTCTCAACTTCGCGATTACCCGCTGCTAATATTGATAATCGGAGGAGCCATACAGCAATTAGAAGCTTCGTGGATAGCAACATGTTGTCGTGTAATTTCTGCTGGAAAGATTTTATTTTTCTCAAATTAATAGTTTCTAAGAGAAACAATGTAATTTTGTAATTTGCGTATAATGATATGACTTTTTTTCTATAATTCATAATTTTTAATAGGGAACGAAAGTTACTTTTCTTTTTATAATTATTATTATAATTACATCATTATAATTTAAATTTCATTTAAAACGAATTAATTTTTTAAGATGTAAATTATCTAAAGTTATTATCTGTATTGATTTTATTTATCAATTTTCAGTAATTTTTGTTTCATCCTTTCTTGCTTATTAATAATTTTAGATCAAGATTAGATTTAGAGAAGATTGAAGAAAATGATTATTTTCAAATATTCTTTATTATATTATGAACATTATTTTATATATTCATTTTGAAACACCAAAAAATGGTTATGATATAAAAATAGAAGAAAATATAATGTTGTATGTGTGTATATAATGTTAAATGTTACAATTGAAATAAAAATAAGATATAAATCCTTAAATACTTCACCTTAAATATTAATTTTCAAAATTATTTTTCGCACTCAAAATCTTAAAAAAATTAAATACAAATTTGTTCACTATTAAAATCATATAATCATTAGATTTATTTGTTCCATTTTACAATTATTTGATCAATAATACACTCTATTAATATTACATAAAACTAATTTCTATTATAATTCCTTATAATTGTAATTTATTGGATATTTCATACAGCTCGTAGCTCAATCGTAACTGACATAAATAATATGTGATGCACACTTATATAGATAAAATAACTAAAGATAAAGCTAAAAAAACGTTGAAAAAATATTAAAAGAGATAAGAAATTTGAAAAATGGAGAAAAATTTTAACAAATTGACAGACCTCACTCGTGTATCATCTTCAAAATATAGTAGAGATAAAATGAAGTTAAACAATATCAAAAATGTGTATATTTTGAACAATATAAACACTTTAAATTGCTTATCGATTACTCAGATTGATTCAAATATATGTTGTTCCAAAAATACGGGAACATTTATTGATTAATAATTCTTGAGATAATTTCAAGCAATATTTTCTCTTGCAAAAACTATTGTTAACGAGTTTTTATTAACAAAAAACTGGTTAATCACAGAGTAACTTAATCGAACCGCGACGGCTATATGCTGTTGATCAAACACGAAATCCAAACAACATGTAACGAAAAAAGTATATTGAATATTAGAATTTATTCACTGTTCGTGATATAATTCGTTGTAATTTTTGATCGATAAAGAAATATTTATAATTTATCTATACTTTTTAAACTTGTTCATGCTCATCAGTAGCACATAGCCAACGCTCGACTAAACTATGCGCTCCGTGATTGGCCAGTGTTTTAGTGTTATAGTAATGAAAGTTTTTGCAAAGAAAAATGAAAAGGATCTTCAATTTATTTCAGGATTAATTAACGTTCTCACATTTTTGAGACACTTTGTATTGCAATATGCAAATTTAGATATTTTTAAGATAGAAAAATCATAATGACAGATATTTCGTTTCATTCGTTTTAAGATTTCTGAGATCACCACTATTCAATTTCTGGTGATATAATGGTAGAATCGATTTTTTATCAAGGTTTTTATCTAGCATCAATAATTAGAATTCTGAATTTAAATCTACGTCAATGGCATACACAAAGTTCATATCTCATTTCGTTTCAGTATATCTCGTTTATTTTTAATTAATAATATTTAATTAAAAGATAACATAATTGTTTATGAATGATAACAATTGGCGTATTCTATGTTTATAATCGTGCAGAGGATTGATTATTACATTACAATCAATTAAATTCGCATTTGTTGTCAAAATTTTCATGTTCTCCACAATGCTATAAATTATTTTATAAATTAAGTGATGTAAAGAATTTTTTAATGTGATATATTTATATCATATTATGAAGTATTGATTTAATTTGCACAACTGATGAGATAATTAAAACAATTTAATTTTAAATACATTTTATTTATAATTAAATAATATTGTTTGTATAATTGATAATACAATTAAAGTCAGTTCAAGAAATTGAAACATTTGTGTCATATTCTTATAATGACTTGGGATTTTTATTTTTTAGATGATGCATTTGCACGATTTCTCGATTTTGACATTATTATTAATATTAATGTAACTTTTAAGTATTAGTATTACCTTCCTTAATTAAAATGACTTATTTAGTATTTGGAAAAAAAAGTGAAAGCTAATTTTTTCTTATTTTCCATGTTCTTATTAGGAAATGTAAATTAGATAAATAAATTTTAGATTTTTAAAAGAATATTTAATTTTAAAAATGTAAGCATAGAAGTATAGAACTTGTAATATTTCAAAATAGAATAATTTATAATTAATATTAGAATTTCTAATTTGCATGAATATTTTTTCCAAATTTTTTGTTAAAGTAAACATTTTTATCTACTTTGTTTCTAATTTTGAAGTGTAATTTAATATTTTTTCTATTGATAAAAAAAAATTTCTTTGTAAATGAAATACTTGAAAGAAACATTTCAAATAATATTGAAAATAAGAAGAAAATTTTTGAATATTCTTTTCGAAATTAAAAACATATCTTTTAATTAAAATAAATAAATTAATATATATGTTAAAATTTATTTTTTAAACAAATTATTAAGTTTTAATTTAATAATGTTAAGAATTTAAAAAATAAGTCAAACATATAATAATCGATACAAAAAAAGATTTAAATATTTTAATTAAATAGACATGACTCACTAATAATACGTACATACATTACACGTTCAAAACGAACTTCACACGTTGAATGTTCGAATGAAACTAATCCTTGTAATGTAGAATAAGAAACTTGTTCCTTGTAAATTAATAAGCAGTACATATATCAAAGTGGATCAGGTTTTCTCAGGTGTTTGACCCTTTCAAAGTATAACATGACATTGTTGAAGAATGATGAATATGAGGAATCTAAGAAATATTGCTATGAATACTAAATAAATTTGTTTCGAATATGTTAATGTATTAAATAAACCGTGCATATCTCAAAATTGATATAAAAAGTTATTTGTCTACATTATGTTATTAACAATTACAATTCTAAAAATATTTTGAAAATCCTCAAGCTCTAAATAAAAAGAATATCCTTTTAAGGAAAATTTAATTAAATTAAATTATTGTAACAGCAAGTAAAATAAGTTTGGAATCTAACCATAAGCAATTATTATTATAAATAAATAAAAATAAATTTATATCATCACAATAATTCCAACAAGATATTTGTGCAAATTATTATTTAGCTTTTCAATCACAATAATATCAAAAAATTTCAAGATTCGAAAACTTTTTGAATTTCGATATTTTTTTTTCAGATTAAAATATCTAATACAAAAGTTTTGCAATCTCAATAGAATATCAATTCCAATATCAAAGTAATTCATTTTTTTTATTTCCTTTACTTTGTACAATTCAAATTATACGAATTTTTTAATACCAAAGTGTGTCAATATCGAACACTTTCTTTACATTCTCTGTTACAATTATTACCAATATCAACAACATGAATAGCGTGTCATTTGTGTCGTGGAAGATCAATACTGAGATCTGCAAGTACATAAGCCAATGCTGCAAATAAGGCAGTCCCTCTATCGAGAGCTTCTGGATCCTCGACCAACATAGTATCAGCGTTCGTGTGATGGTAATAAAAGTATTTATCGTCTTGAGTCCAGAGAGAACCTCCTGGTATACCTGCTTTTACCCAATAATCGATATCTGGGCCATCGTTCGGACTTCGAAGTTTCAATTCTCCCATACTTGAGAAGAGTCTAAAGATAAAACAGATCGAGACGATTAGATGCTAGCAGACAGAGTTTATATGATAAATGAAATTCTGTTTTGTTTAAACTGACTTTAAAATTTCTTCGAGAATGAATTTTACTTCTTGCGTTCCAGTAAATGCGATGCCCAAAGGTTTGAACGTGCCTAAATCAGATTCCATCACAAATTGTAAGTTTTTCTCCTCTTTTTTGTGATTTCTGATGTATTGCCTGGCTCCTATCATTCCAAATTCTTCGGCCGTCCACATGATCAGTCTATAATTGTTATTAATTTTACATATAATTTCACGTATATATTTGAAAGAATGAAAAATGTCAATAAAATTTTATATTTAAATAATTTTATGTGAGTTAAATAATTATTCATTAGATTAGTTCTACGTAGAAAGAAAAACAAAATATTTCAATATCGATGAAAAATAATGTAGATTGTTCATTCTTGAAATTTAATTTCAAAATTTAAACTCACTCTTTAATTATTTTTTCTTTTTTTTGCGTTTAGATTTAATTAAATTAAATTATTGCGTTAGATTTCGAATTACCAATAATGTTTCATAATTTAGATATAAAATTTAATAAGTGATTGAGAAGAAATTGTAGATATATAAAATTTTATTTTTAAATTTTAAAAGTTTTAAAATTATTAATTTTGTTCAATTTTAATATAATAATTGTTATTTTCTTTTTCGAGAAAGTTTTAATAAATATTTTTTTTAATATAAAGCAACTATAAATGTTAAAATTAATATTTCATTCAATTTGGACAGTTTATAAATCAACTTTACATTCACCTTACTGTTCGTCGTGGCCTGTAATTAAGATGTTTCAATAATTTCAAAGCCTGCCACGAAACGAATGCACCACCACCGTCGTCCATTGCTCCTTGGCCAACATCCCAACTATCGATATGGCCAGAAACAACGACAACTTTCTCAGGATTCGTGGAACCTCGCAATTCGGCAACAACATTTCGCGACATCGTGGATGGTAGATTTTTCGCTTCCATTTTCAAATTGATTTCAATCACTTCACCTAAAAGAGATAAATTACAAATATTCCTACAATCTCGCATTATTGTAAAATATTTACCTTCGTTTTTGATAATAGCAATGCGATTCGAATTATTTTCAATGTTTCCAATCACTTTAAAATTCGAATCACTTTGAAGACTAAGAAAATTCTATCATCACTATAAATCATTTTTATCCCTTAGAAACATTGAAAATTTTGGAAAAAATTAAAGTAGTGATATTTTCAATCTCCCTCGTGGATTAAAAATAATAATTGAATAATTCTTCGAACAGCTTGGAATCTCTTGAGGTTAAAAAATTTCTATCAAATTTCTATGGTGAAAAACTTTAGATTTTGGAAGCTTTGAAAATATTAAAATTATTGTCTTTTGTAAACGAAGTTCAAAACTCTTCGAAAAATTCGAAACTCATTTTGATTATTTATTTAATACAAAATTCTAAGAGATGTTTACCCCTATCAGCCATTCTCCTGAGTAAGCTAGCATCCTCAGCAGTGATACAGGCTACCGGAATCTTACTCACGTTTTGATCGTAACTTTGCATGCCTGTGTGCGGTGTGTACAACGAAAATGGTGAAATTGATTTAATTAAAGCAGCAACAGCCCCGTATTTCGATGCTTTTGACGCTCCTTTGCTTCGATACTTCACCGTTTGACTGTACGTAATATATTTTTCATTAAATACAACGATCTTTCCTGCTATCTAAAATGGTACAAAAAAAAAAAAAAACCAAATGTATTAAAATGTGTTACAAAGAAACGAAATGTACGGTAGAATTTCGAGTAATGCAATACTTCTATAACGTAAACTAAAAATTACTATTGCTTTCTTATAATATGATTAATTTCTTAGATCATAGTGGATTAAAAAAATGTTCCATCTTTTTTGTGTATGATGAAGTTTCTTTCAACTTAAAAATTAAAAAATTTAAATAATCAATAAAATATAAATTGTATAATATGGAATTGTTATTCCACTTTATAATCAAATATGATATAATCAATTGATTTATTTATTCGTTTTGTTTATTTTATGTGATTTGATATGCTTAACAATTGAAATAATTCTATTTTTATTAAAATAAAATTTTAAGAAAAATTGAAAAATGATAATGATATGATCAAAGAATAGAGAAATTTTGAAACTGAAGAAAATACAAAGTTTAAAATTTAATTTTGCTTTTTCTATTTCGAGCTATTCTATGCATGCAATTAAACAATTATTTATTAAATTTTAAGTTTTATCTTTCTGCTTCTAATTTCCTATGGAAAAAAAAATAATAATATATTTCTCGTATTATTATAAGAAATCCTACTATCGTTTTAAAAAAGTAGAGAAACATATTTACTTCATTTTTTCTTTTGTCAAGTTCTTCGAAACTGTTCACAACAATAACTTGAGCTGTAATTCCTTCAGGTGAAGTACCAATGCTGGTACCTAATCCTAGAAGTGCAATGTCTTTCATTCTTGGTTTCAGAAGAGTTGCTGATTCTTTTCCTCTGGAAAATAAACGTTTTGATTGCAATACATTTTTGTATTACTTGATAGAAAAATAAGATACAAGAATATACAATATATTTTATCTAACTTTGTTATGTTATAATAGAACATTGATTGTCTGAACTAATTAGAAGATACAAATACTGTTAGATATACTAATTTAAATATATCTTAATATAATAAAAAATCAATAGTATGTTAATTAATTTAAAATTAACAATTCACTGTTATTTTTTATTATTATTTTTTAAGACTTTATTTCTACAGTTTCAATGAATAAAATTACTTTACCTGATCCAACGTGGCACGGTAACAGGTTCACCATGGACGTTATCTAATCCATATTCGATAGATTTATTCAACACATAGTCGATGGAACATTCCAGCACCTCAGAACCGGACAATCTAGGACCAAATGTGTCAGTAAAATAAGCTAATTCGTTCCATGTGGTTCCTTTGAACGATCCAAATAAAGTTTCATTTATTATTGCACGAACCACTGGTTCGTAACAACTTATCTCTCGCATGAGATGATATGAATTAACGCTATTTCTTTCTTCGTTGTTAATTGCTATGACAAATCGTAACCGGAAGAGCAATGTTACGATTAGAAATTTCAAGGACAGTGACATATTGTCGAATGAATATCTACGAGTTTTGCTGAAAAATAATAAGAAATTTTATGAGTAAATGATATATTGTCAAATCAATGTTTACAAGTTTTATTAAAAATAATTGTTTATATTAATTTTCACTCTTTATATATGCTATCTTCTTATCATGTTGAAGCATGTTCTTGTCATTAAAAGCAAATTATATTTGTATATTAAAATAAGTAAAGAATTTGTTTTATATTTTAAAACTAATTAATTAATATATTACTGATTCATATAATGATGTAATCATAATTCATAAAAGATATAATTCAATCAAGATATTTGATTATCTAACTACTTCTTTTAATTAATAGATCTCTTAATTATTCTCTCAATGAATTGGTTAGTTTTAGTTGTTTTATTTAATACTTCATCTGCTTTTATTATAATAGAATTAATTCTATATTACATTGTTGTTGAAAGACAAAGAATTGAAAATAATTTAATTTAAATTAATGTACTGAGTGTTTACATTATTTTTTTTCAATTTTTTTTTTGTTATAATTTATCAGAAAAATGGAAACAAAAGTTTCATATTATTTATACCATTTGTACAATGATAATATCAGATCTGAATAATATTATTTAAAATAAGAAACAAAAATATTTGCACAAAATTATTTCAATTTAAATTTAAATGAAATTAATTTTAAATAATAATTTATTCTTTTTTTTTTAACTGTGTTAAATGCAATTAATTTAGAATAATAATTTGTTCCCATATTATTCTTTATCCTAAAAAGTAATTTTAGAGTTTAAATCAAGTATAAAAATATACAAAAATAAATCTGTCATAAATTTTTCAAATTATAAGCAATTTAATTTTGCTCTTGTCAAGTTCCATCTTTATCTTGTCTCTGACACACTACTTCAAATAATTATTTTCAATTCATTTTCTTTTCAATTAATTTGTCAGTTTTTATTTCAAATTCTATATCTATTTTATTTTATTATATCAATTTTAAATAAACATTTTTTATAAATTATTTTCAACATGTTTTCTTTAAATATTATTATTATTATAAGAAAATTTTAAAATCAATTCATAATTATTTAATATAATATAAAAGAAATTATCAAAATGCATGATAAAGTTCATCTAGAAAAGATTACTGAATAAAAGCAACTATATGATTTTATTTTTTTTATTTTATTTAAAAGATTAAGAAAAAAATTGAAGATAAATATTAAAAAAGAATTTTTTTAAAAAACTATAAAAATAGAATTTGTTAGTAATTGTAGATTGGCAAACTTTTATAAGATTTTTTTGTTAAATAAATTAAAATATCAAAAAACCTTTTAATTAGCGATAATTTAAATAAATAAAATATTTAGAATAAAAATCAATATTTGAAATATATCAAACTACATAATTAAATTTATATGTATTCATAATTCAATATCTTATTTCTTCAATTAATCTTTTAATGTAATGTAATTTTAAGGTTAAATATATCAGCAAAAAAATTATTGTTTTCAATTAGATATAATTGATAAGCAATGCATTCCGTCATACAAAATTGATTTTTATTAATCACTTATATGTTTAACTTATCAAATAATAGTACCTCTCATAACGGTGCATCGATTGTAATTTATATGACATAACGAAATATGATATTTAATATATATTTATACTGATAAAATATGAAATTAAATATTTAAAAAAATATATATTCAAATAAACTTCTTTTTAACATTAAAATATTCAAACACTTTTTCAACATTATACTTTCATAATTACCTAAATGTAAATAAAACGAAGTTAGTTAAATGTATGTACGTAAATATTTGCAACAGTATTTCAACTGAAGTCACCAGTTAACTAACGAGTCATCAGACGGATTCAAACATATATACATATATAGTATATATGGCAATATGGAGGGGATCGAAGAAACCGTTAATAAAGAAGGAAGTAATAATAATAGTTCGTGTAAAATGCTTATATTCTATTCACAAAACTAATTCAAATTATATAGAATCTAAGAATGAAAAATTTGAAGTTTTCAGATCACGATATAAAAAATAAATTATATATTAAATCTTATATTATATCTCATTTGTTTCATTTATTTGTGGAATTCATATATAATAAAATGACACAAATAATTCTTCACTGGTTGCATTACAAATTAGCATTCCTCCCATTACTTAACTTCTTACCAACTCTATATTCACATTATCGATGGATCTAACAATAAATATATCACAAGTAGATTTAAATTTTTTTAAAAAAGATGAAAAATTGTAATTAATCAGGATGAATTTCTAATTCACAATAATCTTTAAGCAGTAAGATCTAAAAAATCATTATTATTTATTATCAATTATGATATCGAGAATGAGATAAATACAATTATATTATTATTTTATGAGAAATAATTGGCTACGAATTATATTTTTCATAGATAAAAAATTTATTAAGTTAATGGATAATATTTTTGTTTTAATTCCTAAAATTGTGAAACATAAGCATAAATTTTTACTTTCTATTTTTGAATGACTTAATTTTTAATATTTAAATTATAATACACTAGATGGCAAGAAATACTCTGTAACTTTTTTGAGGTCGATATTTTAAAACGTGTTAGAAAGTCCCATAAGATGTCACTACATATCATATCTATTATATTCTTCATGTATGTCAAAAAACATGCGTTTTATCATTTGTAGATAACAATAGAATAACAATTTTCCATCTATCTATAATAATGATAAAATGTACAAATATTTGTAAATTTGTAATTTATTATAATATAATGTATTTAAAATGTATTTTGAATACATGCGAATAAAATTTTTATTTTTATTAAAAAAAAATTCGTATGCAACTTTAAATTAAATTTCTTATAATATTATTACAGATAATTTTTTTTATTTAACATTTCAATTTTTAATATTTTTATTTTTTTTTCAAATCTTTATGATTGCAATAAATGAAATCTACAAATTAAAAGTATGAAAATGAAAGATAATTATATAATTATATAATATAATAACTTTTTTATTTTCATTTTCATTAATTCATTAATAATTTATTAAAATTAAACATTATGAGAGTTTCAATGAAAACGAAAATTTTATTATTGTTAATCCGAAATTTTAAATTTACATCTTATTTTCTTTTTTCGAAATATGTATTATTATAATCTTCATTATATTTTAATTTTTAACACAACAAGATTAGAATTTTGATATCATGACCTAATAATGTAGTTTTTTATAAACGTCTCTTAAAATAATAATAATTATAACTAGCGTTTATAGATGGAGATGCATGCAACTCCAACAGATGAAACGAAATAGCTCTTCTAATGTTTTGATTTCCTAATAATGTCCGGCATTTTGCGACCGCCGTTGCTACCGTGGCATCGTAGTTTTGGTATAGTTATTATCCACATAAAGAATAATTCATATAAAAATGCTCGAAACGCGGAAAATTTCAACGATGCGGAACAAAACGTAAATACATGTTCTCTAACGATTGTAAAGACGTGTACTTAGAGCGTAATAACACGCAAATATTTTCTTGTGAATTGTACTTAAGTATATATCAATTCCAGTCACGTATCGACTATTTTACAGATGCTTTCTTTTCGATTCGATTTTTGTAAGGTGATATAGGATACAAGAATACATGTATTGAAGTGAAAATTCAAGTTTTTATAAGACAATAATAAAAATGGATACTCATAAATTGTTCCATTTTCAATATCAATATAATTTCATTTAAGAATATTTTTTTTCCATATATTATTATTTTTAATTACTTTTTAATTATTGAAGTATAGTTATGAACTTATTCGCGAACAATAATTCCTTTTCAAAAATTTATTAATAAAAGTTGTTGTTGTAATGAATATTTTACAAGTAGAATAATAAAATATATTAACATTTATCATCATTGTTCAATTTATCATTGAATGAAATAATTAAAAATGTTTTAGTTTATAATTAGCATAGAATGCTTAAATGCATTGTATATGAATTTCATATGCAAATATTAATTACATTATATAACTTGTTCTAATTATCAATATATATTTATGCAGAAATATTCAAGTCTAAACTTTTAATATATATATGTCATGTATTTATGATATAACCATCTTGACTCTCTACTTTCCTAATAACGATAATCTCGAAAAGAATCTATCATAATATTGATAATATATTTTAATACTGTTCTCTTTTTTCTTTCTTTTATTCTAGATATTCAATGGAATAAATCATTGCAAAATATATTGAAATCATTTGAATTCAATTTATAAAAAAGAGAATATTCATTTTCAATTTATCTATAGGTATTCGTTTATGTATACTGTACTTCGTATATATATATATATATATATACAAGTTTATTACAAAATTATCATACAGGATAATCATGTTAAAGATCATCAAGTAAAAAATCTTATGTAGATTAAATATTTTCACTTATATATGTAAATATACGCACAAAGATAATATAAATTTTAATCTTATTTATCCTATTTTCAGAAATCAAGAAGTTTTTTTTATTTAGATTCTATTCTGTTAGTTATAAAAAATATTAAAAAGTATTAAAAAATAGTTTTTTATCAATGAAATATTTAGAAACATAATATTTAAGCATATTTAAATTCAAATAAATAATTCTGTGACTTTTTTATTAGCTTTAACCTACTATTTCAAATTTTCTTAAATAGCTTTATATAACATTAATTTCTATTCCTCCTGGAAATATTTCATCTGTCACATAATCATTTGGGAAATTTCATTCTCTTGTTGTCAAAACTTAATTAATGCAAATTTGCAATCGTGAGAAATGTGACGTTTCCTAACGGAACGAACGGAAGGAGTTGAGGATGACTTAATATTATAGCGGAAATGCCGCTGGTAATTTGAGATCGTATCGGTGTCTACTACATAGTTAATTTGTAGAACAAGATTCAATACAGAAATGGTGATGAAATTATCGCTATTAGATATATATGCACTCAATTTAATTTATTTACGTCTTAATTTCGTTTTTTTTACATTTGATTTACGTTTTCTCATTAGTATTTTAACAAATTTGTCTTATATCTAATTTTATTTTTATTTTTATTGTTCGTCTTACCTAAGTTAATTTTGATTTTTAATGATTATTTATCTATTTAATATTAATCATTGTTTAAACATAGCTTTCTTTTCAATAATCTTTATTAACTTGTCGATACATTTCGCACATTCTTGTACATTTTTGTGATCAATATCGTATACCTAAAGAAATTAGAGAAAAAAGTAAGATATAATTATTATATATATTTGCTCAGGAAAAAAAAAATTATAAAAATGAATTTATAAATGCATACTCGTTTAGCAAACTGTGACTTCAGTCTCTTGTCTTTAATTATCATTTTTTCACCTGATTTAAGATTTTTGAACGTTTTCACTCGCAACGGGCCGAATCTTCTTCGAAATTCTTTTATATTATTGTCGCAAATGCTTTCAATGTGTAGAAGTTTCCCGTGTATTTTACGCTGTCGTTCTCCTAATTTGTCTACTTTTTTCGTGAATTTGTCCATATCTCTATAGCCATGGTAGTAATCATGTCTCATTTTTATTCTTAAATCTTCTTTTATCTAAATATAATATCAAATTATTATCATAACAATAACATCGTTATTTATCAAAATAAAATTCTACATTGTTTTATTTACGAATAAAAACACTATATATTATTTATTAACAAAGTTTAACCTTTCACTTTAAAAAAATTAATAGAATTAAAAAAATATATAATCACTTGTTTGAGTTCGTTTGTCACTTCAAGTTTAAATGATTCTGGCAGGTTTGGATGTTTACTGAAAATTCTATCGATTCGTGCTTCGTTCGAATCCATCCATGAATCGATCTTTTTATCAATGCTTTCATTGCCGTAATCGATCAGGAATGATCTTTCTTCGTTTACGTTGTCGATCACTTTTGATAAAACCTCACCACTCCAATATAAAACACGATCTCTTTCCTTTAATAAATCTGCCCATGTATGAGGCATGCGTCCCACCGTTTGCCCCATTGTTGACGTTGTGCGAGCACATAACCGTCAAAATCTATATTACAGTCAATGATCTATTGATTCAACGCCCTCTGCTTGAAAATTAGACATATACCATACATAGTGCCCTCTGTCGTGCTGTCGTTTTGTTTTCGTTTCAGTTTAAATGAAATTTAGAAACAAGAGTGTGTCGTTAGTTTTGCTTGTCAACGTTGTCAGTTTCGTTCCTTTTCGTGTTTGTTTTGTGAAATTTGTATCAAGTAAACAGGTGGCAAGATTATCCTTCTCGTTTAGTTCTACGATGTGAAACGATTTTCATTTTTTTTTGTTACTTATTTATGTGTTTAGTGGTTATTCGTTTATCCGCCATATTGCTGAAAAATTGAAAAGAAAGAGAGTCATGACATCGTTATGCATATATACGTATGTAAATAAAATTTTACATAAATTTAACTATATAATATAATTTGTTTTATATAATGATTTAAATATCAATTTTTAACAAATAATCATGACATTTTAGGAATATTAAAAATGTTCATCGATTATTTATATACGTATATCGTATATAAATAAAATTACAATATTTTTAATTCCATTATAAATAAATCTTTTTTGTGAAATTTTGCTTTTGACATTTATTTATTGATGAAAGTATAATAATTTTTAAATAATAGAGTTTTGATACATAATTTATTTAAAATTTTATATTTTTGCTTATCATATTTCTAATTCAATTAAATTTTTCTAATATTTCTACAATTTTTGTTTTTCATGTCATGATTATTTTATATTATGATTGTAGCTTTCAAAAATTAAGTTAAACATAAGTTAAATAAAAATTATTTATAAGAG